GACTGTTGCCCACCAGGCTCCTCTGTCTACGGAATTTCCCACTCCCATACTGGAGTGGGTTGCCATTTCCTCCTCCAAGGGATTGTCCAGACCCAGGGAGCAAACCCATGTCTCCTGCATTGGCAGGCAGTTTCTTTACCATTGAACCACCTGGGAAGCCCCAAAGACAGGATGAGAGTGATTCATTTCCACACCTCCTTCAGTCCTAACCCTGATCTGAACACTCAGAAGTTGTTTGCTAAATGAATTAACAGGATAGAAAGCAGCTGAGGGGTAAAAAGCGAAGGTCCCTGTTTACAGTTTGGGTTCTTTTTTTGTCCTCAGATAAGATACAATTTTATTTCTACTCATCTAAGTTTTGACACAATCACCAAATTCTCCATTTGCTGATGATTTCTGAATAGAAATTTAAAGTAGAGAGTGGGAAAGACAAAGCATACCTTCACCATATTTATGTTTCCTAAATGGAGCTCCCTCTGCCCTGATTTGTTCTGTGGGAAAAGTGTGGGTTGTTTTGGTGAAGTGAAGGCTGGGGGTGGAAGGAGCAAGTTTTGGGCAGGTCTGCCCCTCAGCAGACTGAGTGCCATTAGAGTGGACATTTGCCTACATTCTGGAATCCATATTTCAGAGAGAAGATTAGTCATGTATAGAAATTCGAATATCTTCTTAACATTGTGGTCATTACAGAGTGCTTATAAGGTCCTTCAAACAGATATCATGTTAATAAGATTAGAACTAGTAGTAAGACCCCTGGAAAGTCTAGCTGTGTAATAGGAATGAAATGGAATTTTGTCGGCATTGGATGAGATTCCTGTAGGTTGTTGGAGCCTGTTTCGTGGAGGAATCATAGGGTGTGGCATGCCCTGTGATATAATATAATGATAATAGGGCTTCTTACATATGCTCCTCCTTAGTCTGCAATAACCCAGGCCACCCTCGCTTCCTCCTGTGTTGCAGTCATCTCTACATGGCCTCGTCACTTTCATCAGACTCTGAGTCTTCTGAGGAAAAGAATACGATCTGATACACCCCTTTATCCCTCACTGGGATCATCACAGGGTCTATGTGGAAGTCTTAGCTCTTCAAAGACTGCTGATGCTCACCAAGTTCATATCTTCTTCTTCTTGGCACATAGGCAGACCACATACCCTAATCATCTTGCAGTTAGGTGTGGTCATCTGACCCAGTTCTAGCCAATCTTTTGGCACAAGTGCAAAATGTTTCTTCTAGGACTAGTCTGTAGACACCTTCATTAACGCTCCCCCATCTTTGATACAGTCGTATCAGCCTCAGACAGCTTGTGTTGAAGATGGTGGAGATGCAGGATGGAAGAACCCAGCTTCAGAATCATTGTTTGGAGGAGACTCCCCTCTATTACTCCACCAATACCCTCCCATTATTACAGACTTAGACCCACACTTCTGCTGTGTTAAACCACTGAAAATTGTTATAGTTGTGATTATTAGAGCAGTCAGCTTACCTTAACTAAACAGTCTTGCACATGTAGGTGTTCAACAATGTTTGTGCAATGGGATGCTTCGGAAAGGCTCCCGTGCAGTAGAGAAATCTAGATAAAACATCTAAATTCACACTAATTTTCCCTCTAGGTCATGGGGAAGTGGGGAGAATGAATCTTGTCCCTGCCGTGTAGGAGTGTGATGCATGGTTCTAACACACTCCACTCTGCCTGTTGCTTCTTCATTTCTAGGCCTCACAGGCTAGAGGTGGAAACATTTCCTCTACCTTAATCCATGTAATCCCCCATGTCCTTCACCTGTCCAGAACCATGGCAGAGTTCTAGAGAAAATACAGCAGGAAAGGAAGAAGTATTGTATTTCCAGGTTGAAATAAACTGGACTAGAACCAAGAGACCTGGCTCTGTGTCCTGGATCTCCCAGTATTTTGCTGTGTAGCTTTGAGCAAACAACTTCCATCTCTGCGTTTCTTATTCGTTTTCTGGAAATTGTATTTTGAGTTAAGGATTGTCCAGGGAGATACTCTTTCAGTCATTTACTTCCTCTGGCTTTACTCTGGACAGAAAGACCCTTTCAAGAGCTAAGACTTGGCTTTAAGGGTGTTGATCACTTCCTCAGGTCCTTGTGTGAAGTGAATATTTCACTCTATTTTTCTTTTGTTTCCTCATTTGTCTCTTCCTTTCCTTCCTGTCTCTGGAGTGAGTGAGTGCTATGTTGATTCAGTTGTGTCTGACTCTTTGCGACCCCGTGGACTATATAGCCCATCAGGTTCCCTTGTCCACGGGATTCTCCAAGCAAGAATACTGGAGTGGGTGGCCATGCCCTCCTCCAGGGGATCTTCCCAGCCCAGGAATCAAACCCAAGTCTCCCGCAGCTCCTACATTGCAAGTGGTGTCTCTGGAGGGCCCTACCTTACAGCATGTGATGCTTACAACTTCTCATGAGTAAGAAGTTTGCCTTTTTGGTTCATCAGGATGACTGTGTTCTGCTTCCAGTCACAGGCAATCAGGAATCTGGCCTCTCCAGATGGAAAAGATTGAAAGAGTGTCAGCTTAAGTGGCAACCTGTCCTCCTGAGCTCCATGACTAAACAACCCCTAGGAGGTCCTCCCACCAAGACTGAGTCAACTTCCTTGCTATCCTCACCTCCACACTACTAGCCGCCACCCCCCACTACATAAACAGTAGGTGGTTCTTCCTCTCGTGGGCCTTCAAGGAGCTGGCTAAGCTACTGAGGTGTGACTGGCTCTCTCTTGCTTATGGGCGTCTCTCAGCAGATCCTTTAAGCTTTAATATCTGTTGCAAGTCCTCCAGGAGGTAGGATTTAAACCAGGAGTGATTATTTTCTTACAGAGCATGTCCTCTGTGGCTGAAGCAAGGGCTCAGTACTTATCGAACTTCATGATCAACCAGTTTAACTCGGTTTACAAGCTCTTCGTGGCAGGCACATCTGTTTTCATTCCAAGCTCATTATCCAATATTCTTCCTTATTCCCTCGGTTCTCAAGCCTTACTTTGATATCTCTCAGTACCCCCAAATAACCTATATTTTTTTCTCACCTCTCTTGAACATTTTCATACATTTTATGTTTCTGTCTCTGGTCAAGAGTGTGCTCACCATCCACTACTACCCCTTATTCCTTCCACCTAGTTAGCATGTGCTCATATTTGAGATGTCAGATAGGTGTCACTTCCTTCAGGAAGTTGTTGTTATCCCATTAAGCCTGAGTTTGATGCCCTTCCTGTTTAAAAGACTGTTTACTTGACTATACCCAAGCAACTGTAAATGCTGTTGAAGTGGTGACTTTCTCTTTTTCACCACTGACTCCTAAGAGTTCAGCACAGTGTCTGGAATATCTGTTGCTCAACTCATAATTGCTGAGTAAAAGTTGAATGGAGCTGCTATGAGTGTTATATTTTGTATCTTTGGGCTGTAACAGAAATCACAAACAGTGAATTTTAGGAACATTTAATTATAGGTTTAACAAGGTGTCTAGAGCTAGGTGGTCCCAGGGTAGCACTGTGGCTCTTACAAGTGGAATTGTAAGGATCTAAGCTCTTTTATCCTTTTCTCCACCATCATTAACTTGACTATTTTCATCTTCTTCAAAAGATGGCTGTCATGAATGGAGTATTGCATCTTCATGTATCAGTTTTAAAGGAAGGAAGAAAAAAGTTCTCTCTCTTTTGTCAATAGGACATTCTTTCCCAGAAGACTCCAGCTGTCTTTCCCTTGTATTTTACTGTGGAGAACTGGGTCCTGTGCCCACTGGCAGACACGTCATGACTCATCTTTAGTGCTTTTACCTGAAACCATGCTGCCTAAGAGTAGGACTATCTCTAGCAAAATATATGAGTAGATAACTGATCAGTAAGAAGTGAATGATGACTGTCTTTCAAGTCTTTCATTAGGTTTTAGCTCTACTTTAGATTGCTGTCACTTAAAATGCAACACTTGTGATGGCGTGTTCTTCTTTCAGTAGCCCCTCTGGCATGAAATGCTATACTTCTCTGTTTATTCTCATCAGCCACCTTTTTCCTGAGGCAGAAAACATATTGACCTCTCCTGAACTTCACGTGGGCAATGGTGCCCCCTCAAGGCAATCAACAAGTATCATCCTCCTGTATATTCATTCCTAGAAAATTTTCTTCCATGGCCAAAGCTGCAAGAATTGTGTTCAATTATTGCATCCTGATATTATTGCACCAGGACTAGATGGAACAAAAAGGCAATAAGATGATAAAAATTTTTATTGTGAGCAAATGAACCAATTCCTGAAGAGATCACAATGCACCCAATTTTTTGTTAAAATATAAAATTCAGGGGTGATTATACAATTGTTGAAATCTAGATGACATTCCCAATATTTAGCCTTTCTAGATCCATCTACTTTTTTTAATCTGAAAACTTTTTAAACTAAAAAGTGAAAGTGAAAGGAATATGTTTTATTATTACACTTTACTTTTAGAAAGCTTGTTTCTTCTTAGTGTGATGATGATGATCTCTTATGAAATGTGACACATGCTATAGGTGGACTTTTATCAACATTACCTTAGACCTTCATGTCAACTCTATCCTTCCTATTGACATGTTATATAATAGAAATCTACACTTCAGATTTTAAGTGATTTGTCCAGAGTCATCAGTAGAGCAGGGATTAGAATTGAGATTTTCCCAATTCCAAAATGATCCCTACATTCCTTGTCAGGAACCAAAACCCGTTCCTTCAATTTTCATGGTCACAATACGCTCATTACTTTCCCAAAGTCCATAAGGTTTTCAGTCACCTGTCACTGGTTAATCCTCCTGTCTCAGGGTTTTGGCAAAATGACCATTCACATTCATGGGCTGAAATATTTATGGACAGCACATGAAATGATTTATCTTTCTAGTTCAACAGTTTGAGTCTGGAGGCACTTATACCTAGCTCGGCAAGTAAATACTAAGAATTTAAAAAAAAAAAAAAAAAGGATTAACAGGCCAATCCTGTGGCTGAGGAAAGTATTTCCTCTCTTTCCTTTGTTAGTCTAATAGGTAAGGCGTGTGCTAAGAGATTTTAAAAGCTCCTGAGAACAGCAATGACAAGTAGTGATTGTTCTGAATTCACTGAAGCCCTGGCGGGTTTGACATTTCCCCAGGGAATTAGCTTGGCGGTCCTGTTCAGATGGAGGAGGAGAATAGAAAGGACCATCAGGCTTTGCTCAACCCAGGAGAGGAGAACGAACTGGTGAGTCTTCCCTTCTTTTTATTATCGTTTCTCAAAAGTGTCTGAGCCTATAGGTTACTTGGGGTGGTGCTGACTTTAGGAGCTGGAGAGTTTGAAGTCTGATAAGGCTCCTGGAGATCCACAAGGCACACTTTTACAGCCAGGGAACCTTCAGGGGAGAGAAAGTTGTTTCTTCTAGATGATGACTGTGTGTCTTTTACCTCTTGCCATCCTGATGTGCTTTGATTGGAGCCACGAAGTTCCTTCCTCAGACATTTTGCAGAGTAATGGCTGTATACACCCACAGGGTACTACTGATGGAGGTGTTCCCACCTATCATCTGGCACTCTATATAATTAGACAAATGCAGGCAAAAAATGAAACTCTTTTTTAAAAAAAATTATTTTTAGTGCTCTGGGCTGAAATCATGCCTTACAAGAGCCAAGAGAGAGATTTTAAGCACCAAGTATTGAAGAACGACTAGAGTGTTACCATATTAAAAAAAAAAAAACCATTCTCACTTTTTGGATTCTTTTTGCCCACTGCCCCTTCCACCAAACACATATAAATCTTGAAAAATAATTATGAAAAACTTGAAAACTCCTACAATATCTCTTCGGTACTGAAGACTTCACATTTATTATTTTATTTGACCCTCAGAACTCATGGAAGGAATTAATCCTATTTCATAGATAAGAAACATGAGACTTGGAAGGTTAAGCAACTTGCCCAAGGTCCTCAGCCTCCAAGGACCAGCCTAGGAAGCCAGTCCACTCCTGCCTGCTCCACACCTTGTGCTGTTTACACTCTAGCCAGGCAATGGGAAATGGAGGTTAAGAAAAAGAGGGGATGGAATAGAGAGGGTGCACTGAAATGCAGAAAGGAACCCAGAGGACAGGGTTCGTACATCCAAAGGGTATCAATTTTCTGCCTGGTTCTTCCGGTTCCCTATGAAATCTGTGGGAGATTCTCTTCCCACTTACTGTTTGTGAACCTATGGAAAATAAATGTCATTTATACCTGCACTGGCTACATATGGTTTTAGAGAAATTGTTGCCGTTTAGTCTCTTAGTCATGTCCAACTCTTTTGCAATCCCATGAAGCCTGCCAGGCTCCTCTGTCAGAGTGATTTCTCAGGCGAGAATACTGGAATGAGTTGACATTTCTTGACCCAAGGGTTGAACCCTTGTCTCCTGCATTGGCAAGCAAATTCTTTACCACTGAGCCGCCGAGAAAGCCCCTTTAGAGAAGTAGCTGATTCCAGCTGAAATGTGCTTTAGTGTGTTAATAAAACTACACATAGGCTTTTGAAAGCTTACTAAAAACAAAGTGTAAAATATCTCATGAATAATTTTTATATTGGTTACACATTGAAGTAACAATGTTTTGGATAGGTTGGGTTAAATAAAACATTATGAAAATTAATTTCACGTGCTTTTTTTGGTTTTAACTTCTTCAACACGGCTTCTGGGAAATTGAAATTACGAAAGGAGCTTGCATCAGTAGCTTGCATTTTTCTGCACCACAGATCTTGACAGTGATATAGTGTTCTAAAATCCTCGGACTGCAGGGATGCAAAGAACTAAAACTTACTCACTGTGTTCACTACCAAACAACTCTGTACCAGGTCTGCTGCTTTTTTTCAGCATGTTGATGAGTGTGCAAAAAAAAAAAAAAAAAAAATTCTCTGTTTTCTCTTCATTGTTCCCTAACTCAGTGCTGTATTTTTAAAGTTTAGAGTCTAGTGTTACTTCTATTAACCACACAGGGGGCATGGGTATCAAAGGATTAAATAGCAGGAGTTGCTTTTCTTTTTTGGTGAAGAAATTGTTTGGTGATCAAACAATTCTAGTGAAATCCACCCAAAAAACCTCTGTTAGGAACTCCCACTAGGTTTACCTCATTGTCAGGGCATCTTGGGGAGGGGGAGAAGGAGCGGCTGTTGATCTCTTCTTCATAAATCTTACTCAAGAATTTAGGCAGAGAGCACATATGCAAATCCTACTCAGGTAAGTCAGGAAACTTGGCTAGTAGGCAAGCTACAGGGGTGACCTAGGTCCACAGGTGACAGGAAGCTGCCACCTGCCTCCAGGCAATTGCCATTCTAGATGTCGCAGGCCCAGCAGCTCTCAGATCTTTTGAGTTTGAAAGAGAAGCCAGAGATCTGTATGCTTATGTAAAATAGTCTCATAATAAACTCCGGAATTTTTTTTCTTAGATAATTAGTAGGCCAATTCAACCAGGGCCTGGTCTAACCCCAGCTTTTGCAACCTCTCAGCACCTGCTCTTCCTTTCCCAAAGGTTTCCCGGGGCCCAGACTTGACTTCTTGCAGTCATCCTTTCCAGTGAACAAGCACTGTGATTGTGTGAGAGGGTGTGAGGTGGAAACTACCTCCGTGGGTGGAGGGGGCCTGTGAGGTGATCCACGCGCAGTCTTGGGTCATTTTCCTGAGCTCATCTCAGATATGAGGTGTGGCTGGAGTATCACAGTTGAACCTTGCCTTCCCATCTCCTGTTCTCCAGGCCCTGCTCCTCCACATACTTCCTGTGTGGGCGCTGCGCTGGGTGTTTGATAAGCAATACTTCATGTTCCCCTCACAACAGCTCATGTGATAGGTACCGTCCCTGTAGAGGCCTTGACTGTCCTCCCCAGTCTCCTGCCTCCCACTCCCCACCCCCACACCACCGCCTGGCTCCAGTGGTCTCTTGTTCCTTCACTTTTTCCCCAAAAGCATCTCCTTTCTTCTGCCCCAGTGTTTCATCAGCCTCTCCATTTGCGGTCAGCTTTTCTTGTCTTCTCTTGTGATCTTCTCAGGACCCCGCTGTTTCACTCACAGCCCGCAGCATCCTTCACAACCACAGATCCTCACTGAGTCTGGAGTCTGTACAGTTCATGCCTAATGGATAGGGATTTGTTCTCAGGCAGACCTGGGCTTTGATTCTGGTCTTGTTGGGTAAGTTATTTAACCTCGCTGAGTTATTTGTTAAATGAGGCTAGTAATACCAACCATTTGGAATTGTGGTGAGGATGAAAGGAGGTAAGACTGCCTTTCCAAAAATATCTTCTGTTGTACAATATTGTTAATAGTATTTATTATATAAAAACTTTCCCTTTTCTCCCTAGCAATTAAGTTTGAGGAGTACTTGGTGAAACAGGCTGGCCAATAACTTCAGAGTTATAACCTCTCAGAGCCTTCAGTATACTGTGCTTCACTGTGAATCTACACAAAGGCATTACACTGTGCTCTATTTCACACATGTGTATACATGGAATCCTTTGTTGGTGGAGGCAGAGTCCCTCATAACTACTGTTCCATGGAACCACTGTAAGAAAGGATGTTTTCAATGTATGACTGGTATCATTTTAGCATTGTGATTAGTCTCCTGGGAGAAAAAGTCATATTTCTCTTCAGCCAGGTGCATCAGGAGGTGTAGGAGGTGCATAGCAGCCTCTATTTCAGAGTCCTCTCGGGCCTCACTTGCTGCATTTACTTGGTGGAGATAGAAAGATTCTGCCCATGAGACAGAAGCGCTGCATGAGTCCCATTGGTTGTCAAGCCCGACCATTGCCTCGGTGCTCCTGTCTGCACAGATGCCCACCACTCTAGTGTCAGAATCACAAATGGGAGCAACCCAGAAAGCAAAATGGCTGCTTGGAGTGGAGGACACAGGTTTGATAGCAGAGAGCTTCCCTTTGTGGTAACTTTTTTCGGAAAACAGTGGAGGAGCCATGGACTTAAGGCAGCAGATCTTAGTCAAGGCTCCACAGCTGACTGGGTGGCTATGGACACCTTATGGGACCTTGTTAGTTGTCTGAGAATGGCATCAGTTACCCCTTCTGACTCACAAGGTTTGCAAGGGTCATATAGGAAACTTGGAAAGTGCTATGAAAATATAAAGGGTAAATTTACATACAAGGAGTCAGGGGTTGTCACATGGCTTTAAAAATTACAGAAATAATATGATAGGTGAATTTGACGCTAAGGGTATTTTCTCTTCCTCTGAATAAACTTGGGGAATGATAAGTGTTTGAGGTCTATCATTTCAAAAATAATATGTAAAGAGTTGGTAAGAAAAATCAGAAATTTTGAACATCTGAATTGTTTTAAACACTATCACATACTCCTAATAATCCATTAAAGGACAAACAAAATAAAACTCAAAGGGCTAACTTTGAAAATTTTAAAATGAGCCTTAATGTCTCTTTCTTATCTAGTCACCATTTATGTTATAGATTGACAAGCTTATCTAATCTTCAACTGGCACCCCATTATGAGGGAGAAAGAACAATATAGGTGACAGAATGAAGATTTAAAAAGTCCTCTGGGGACTTCCCTGGTGGTTCACTGGTTAAGAATCTGCCTTGTAACACAGGGGACATATGGCAAAAAGGGATTTACAAATAATAAATGCTGGAGAAGGTGTAGAGAAAAGGAAACCCTCCTAAACTCTTGGTAGATATAAATTGGCATTGCCACTGTGGAAAACAGTATGCAGAGTCCTCAAAAAATTAAATATAAAGATTCACAGCTAGAGACAAAAAAAAGAGAAATAGAGTTACCACATGACCCAGCAATCCCATTCCTAGATATATATCTAGAAAAAATGAAAACTGTAGTTTAAAGAAAATACATGCAACCCAGTGTTCACAGCAGTACTAGTTACAATCACCAAGATATGGAAACAACCCAAATGCCCATCAATAGACGACTGGTTTAAGAAGACAAAGTATATATGTATATAATGAAATATTACTCAGTCATAAAAAAGAATGAAATGTTGTCATTTGCAGCAACATGGATGGGCATAGAGAATATTATACTAAATGAAATGTCAGACAAATATTATATAATATCAATTATATGTAGAATCTAAAAAATAATAAAAATGAATTTATGTACAAAACAAGAAACAGACCTAGGAAAAAAACAATGGTTACCAAAGGGGAGAAGGAGGGAGGAACGGGCAAACTAGGGGTGCGAGATTAACAGGTATAAACTATACATAAAACAGATAAGCAA